AAAAAAAAAAAAACCCAAAACCTCAACAAGCAACTCCTCCAGGAGCGAAACCGAGGGGAAGGGGGTGGGAAGGACGCCAAACGCGATGCCACCGCGGCCTCCTGCCGGCGCCAATTCTGCACGGCGAAAGGGGCGGGGGGGGGGAAGGAGGGCAAGCCCCCCCCTTAAAAAAAAAGAGAATTAATCCAATTCACCCTTCCGGGAAGCCCGCCGAGCGCTTCCCCCCGAGCCCCCGCCGCCTCCCGAGGCGGGGGAAGCTCCCCCGTCCCTCCGCTCCGCGCCTCCCCCCGCGGCCTCACGCCGCCCCCCGCATCCACCTGAGCCGCCCCTACATGCCCCCCCGCCGCCCGCCCCCGCGCTTATCTCATCCCCGCGCCCCCCTTCCTCCCGCGGGCAGCGCTCGGCGGAGCGACGCCGGGCCGCCCCCTCCTCCTCCTCCTCCTCCTCCTCCTCCCCCCGTTCCCGGGTCGCGGGCGAGGAGGGAAGCGCGGCGCGAGGGGAGGAAGGGAGGGGAAAGGGGCCGAGCCGCTCCCCGCGCTGCGCCACAACCCGCCCGCCGCCGCTGCCGCCGCCGCCGCCGCCGCGCCCCGAGCCCGTGAGCGCGCCCGGCCCGCCCCGCGCCGGGTCCGGAGCGAGGGGCGGGAGCGGCAGCGCCCGGCGGTGCGCGGTAAACAACGGGGCGGGGCCGCGGTGACGGCGGAGGGCGGGCGCAGGGAGCCGTGAGGGCGCGGGGCGGGCCGGGCCGCCATTTCCCGCCTAGGGCTGCGCGGGAAAAAATAAATCACGGCGTCGGGTTGGTGTGGGTGGGTGGGGAGGGAGCTGTGGGATCATCGCCGTGGTGTCAGCACCGAGTGCCACGTGCGGGATTCCCTCCAGCGCCGCCCGGGACGGGGATTCCATCCCCTCGTCGGCGCGTCCTGTTTCTGATCTCTAATGTCGAGGGAATTGTTTCTAATGCCCAACCGAAACCTCCCCTGGCACAGTGCGAGGCTGTTCCTTCTCCTCCTGTCCCTTGTTCCCTGGCAGCAGAGCTGTCTCCCCCGGCTGTCCCCTCCTGTGCAGAGCCACAGGTTCCCCCCCAATCCCCTTTTTCTCCAGGCTGAGCCCCTTTCCCAGCTCCTTCAACCCCTCCTGGGGCTCCAGACCCTTCCCCAGCTCTGTTCCCTTCTCTGGATCTGAATACATGAGCAGGTGTAAACCATCTGATCAGAAGAGGTGTGAAAGTATTTTTACAGGTGGCTGTAAGGGGTCTTTTTCAGAAGCAAGTGTGTAGCTCAAATCACAGAATCACTCCGTTTGGAAGTGACCACAGTGGGTCATCTTGTCCCACGTCCCTGCTCCAGCAGAGAGGACCCCAGCAGGGCCATCCCAGAGCACAGGATTGTGTCCAGGTGGTTCTGGAATATCCCCAGGGAACAAGACTCCACAGCCTCTCTGCACAATCCATTCAGGGCTCGGTCACTGCACAAGAAGTTCTGCCTCATTTCCAGGGGGAACTTCCTGAGATCATTCCTGCCCATTCCTCCTGTGCCACTGCTGGACCCCACAGAGCAGGGCCTGGTCCCTGCAGATGCTGGCAGACTTTGGTGAGGTCCCCTCTCAGTGCTGACCAGCCCCAGCTCCCTCAGCTTTTCCTCAGAAAAGAGTCCATTAATCTTTCTTGTAACCTCTGCTGGACCCACCCCAGGAGCTCCATGTCCCTCTTGTACTGCAGACGTACGGATGGCGGGCTTGGCTGCTTCTCTCACAGCTAACACTCTGTCTTTTTCCTAAAAGGCATGTCTGGCTCTCCAGGAATTCCCAGAGCTGCTGGTTGCTGGTGCATGAGGATATAAATTACAGTGTGCTTGTCCTGCTCCCACCCTCCTCTGTACCTGCCATTACCCAGGGCCTTGGGCCTGATGGTGAGGAAAGTACATGGGGAGACCCACCCCAAATAATGGCTCTTTTATGGGGCTACCAGAGTGTAAAACCAAGAGAAAACCTTTTAAAAAGCATGGTGGTGCATTTAACATAAATAAAGAATTGTAACCTCCTTTGCCTCGTAGAAAAAAACCAAACTAATGTATATTCAAGCCTCCATTGTAACCTTGCTACATTAAAGATAGGTATAATTTTATAATTAATTAAATAAATGGGGAAAATCCTTCTGTAGCCAGCATAGACGCAGGCAACATTAATTTTAGTGATGTTGGTTACAATTATCTTCTTTTTGCACTAAAAGAGGAAACCACTGAAAATTTGCATTAATAAGATATTTAGAAATTTATCTATGAAAAGTTTTACTTAACAGTAACAAAACTTCATGGCATTGACTCCCCATCCCTGGAAGTGTCCGAGGCCAGGTTAGATGGGGCTTGGAGTAATCTGGGATAGTGGAAGGTGTCCCTGCCCATGGCAGGGAGTTGGAACTGGGTGATCTTTAAGGTCCCTTCCAACCCCAGCCATTCTGGGATTCTGTGATTCCTTTCAGCTGCCAAGCTGGGTTGCAGAAATGACCATTTGGTTTAATTCCAGCAATTTAAGCAGCTGTTTTTGTTGTAGCTCTTCCTGGCTGTGAAAGAAGGTTGTGGGCCCTGCCTCGAGGAATTTCTCCTCTGCAGCAGTGCCACATCCAGTTTCTAGAGAAAATGACTTAACAGCTCGGGGGCTTTGTTTCATTCCTGCAGTCAACAGATTTAAACATTTTGCTGTGAGCCTTCAAATCACTGCGTTTCTTTCCAATGTAGAAAAAGTCATTCCAAATCTACCTGTGCTTTCTGCCTCCAAAACTAACACTCCCTACAGAGCAGTACAGGCAGAGATACCTGTATTGCAGGTTTCTGGGACTTGTATTTTAGGTTTTCCTGTCCTACTCTTATGACAAACACTTGCACGGGGAGTGAGCGCGATGCCACTGCTTGCATTGCATCCAACTGTGCAGGTTCCAACCTGCTCCTTGGCTTTGGCTTTGGCTTCTCCAGACAAGAGTCTTGCAGTTACAAACAGTCCCTCACAGGCTGGATCAGGCACAGGGGAACAGGAGTTGGTACATGTTGGCTGGTGGAATTAGCCCTGCTGCCTGTGAGGGCTGGGAGCTGCTGCTTCTGAGCTATTATGCAGCTCTATCACAGCTCTGGTTATGTTGTAACCCTGCAAGTGCTTGATCTTTTACCCGCCCAGGCGCTGCAAGCATTTTTAATTATCTGAGGGTTAATTTGCATAGGAGCTTTTGCTGAAACAATAAATTCATACCTCTGTTATTATCTGGTATGAGTTTCTGTATCAATATTTATATTTGGGTAAAACCAAAGAAGCTTCCTGCTACCATTAAGACAAAAGAATTGCTTCAGAGCAAGTTCAGGAGTCAGCCAGCACTAAGAACACCTTCCAATTCTTTGCAGGGAAAGGGAAATTGTAATACGTGGTGGGAGAACAAGCGTTCCAATGCCTCTTTCCTACACAGGGATGAGGAGACAGAAACATCTTGTCTGATGAAAAGCACGTTTTGCAAGGCTTGACAAATACATTGTTCACCTCGAGCCAATGTGGTCTGTGTGATTTTAATGCTGGTAAGATTGTTTCTGCAGCTCGTGTGGTAAGACTCCAGTCCAACAGCTCACTGCGTGTTCATCTTCATCAGGAATTTGGTATTTGCTTCAGTTTAGAGGGGGAACTGCTGTTTGTGGTGATATAAAAGGGGGAAGTAGGGTGAGAGGATGTGCCAGGAGGGGCTGTCTCTCCTCGTGCTTGTCCCTTGCTGCTGCCATGCAGCTCTCTTACCCCTCCAGCCTAAGGTGGAGAGCAAAAAAGCAAGCCACTGACAG